TGTGTGTGTGTGTGTGTGTGTGTGTGTGTGTGTATATATATATATATATATATATATATATATGTATATATATTTATTACAAGGCTCTGTGGAATACTTGATTCTGATTGGTCAGTCGCGCCATCCAGCGGTATGTTATTCCCAGATAACAACCGCCAAATTGAATAACACACCGCTTATCCGGGTACTACAAGTTATCTTGACCGATACTACTTATATGCTTAATGAGTCACTCCGCTATCGTTGACTGTCTGGCGCCATAAATAAAAAGAAAACAAATAGAATACAAAAAGATTAGAAAAGCTATTGTAATTTTTTTTTTAAGAAAACAAGCTGTAAATGAATAGAGTGCAAGTCTAAAAGGGACACGTTTTTTTGTATAAAGTGATCGTTGACTTCCGCTTCGCGTCGGGGTCCTGATCACCCTGTCGGGGTTTATTCTGCGATAACAACCAGCTGTACATTATCCCTTACATATACACGATATGCCGATATTTTTCAACTCATTTTGGCTGATAGCCGATGCCGATATATTTCCTTTTGTTTGGAAAAAATACCAAGTCTCCCTTGTGAGGAAATTATAAGATAATAATTTTTTTACAAGAACTTATTTGTTAGAATTAAATAAACAATAATGAAGTTATCGCAGATTTAAATTATATAATAAATAAAAAGAAAAAAGATAGAATAGAAAAAGAAAAGAGCAAGTTAGTGTTAGAGGCCTTTTTTGCTTTTTTTAATTGTATAATAAATAAAAAGAAAACAAATAGAATACAAAAAGATTAGAAAAGCTATTGTAATTTTTTTTTTAAGAAAACAAGCTGTAAATGAATAGAGTGCAAGTCTAAAAGGGACACGTTTTTTTGTATAAAGTGATGTTTAATGTATTTATGATGTTGGTATCAAAAAATGAAGTATATGTTTTTTTGTTTTTGCTTTTTTACTGTATATCAATATGGTATGTTTAATGGTATGTTTAAGTAATCTAAAAGTAATCTAAAATGTCGTCAGAATACATTACCTAAAATCAGTAACCTAGATTACATTACTACAGTATTCATCATTTAATCTGTAATCCGTAACTGACTACTATTTGTAATCTAGAATACCAAGTCTCCCTTGTGAGGAAATTATAAGATAATAATTTTTTTACAAGAACTTATTTGTTAGAATTAAATAAACAATAATGAAGTTATTTTATAATGACAGTACACTTTGAAAATAACTATAAATAAACTATATAGCAATCCTTTTTTTTTCAGAAAGATGCAGTAGTAACCTTAACATTTTATTTTAAGATTTAACATTTGTAGATGGTCTAAAGCAAAAGAGTTGTAAAAATTCTGAAAATCTTTTAGAGCTCATAATTAATGAATAAATCAGTATATATAAAATGATTTAATTTACAAGTGTCATGTTTGTGATTTTTTTTATTCATGTAAGCTATAGCTTCTGACCTTTAAATCAAAACATACTCATGATTTTATGACATCTATTACTGCTTTATTTAATCACACAGAAACACAGTCTAAATGTTATTTGTGTATTTTACTTTCATTTTAATAGAAGTAGGCCAACAGCGCCCCCTACGGAATTAAAACTCCTTACCGAACGTGCATTAGGACCCGGGGGAGGCTGCCGCTGCTGCCAATGCACGTACTATTACTGTTTACTCTATCATACGCCAAACTCGTCATTCTGTATGTGCATTCTCAGTTTAAATGCAGTGATCCAAAATAGTGAATCTAATCACCTTATAGGCAAAACTTTGCTTCAAGAATGAGCCACACTGCAGACGTGATCTAATTGCTAGCACACCCTGAGCACATGTGAGTTAACATATTCATCATAATTTTTCATATAGGGCCAATGCCGATATTTACATTTAAAGCCATTATCGGCTGATACCGATATCGGTCCAATAAAATAGTGCATCCCTAACATAAATATATATATATTGACACACATGGGTTGTCGGCAGGTTGTGAAGTGTAATTCTGGTTTGTGCCTTCTTTCTCTATATCTATCTCCCATTCTACTTCCTTTCCTCTCTGCATGACTATATTTGGAACTGTCAACCAGATGCTCTGTGGGTTTTGGAGCGCTGCATTCTAAAATGAGCCGTTAGCGAGCAGGTACATAAGCTGCCATTCCCAGCATGCAAAAAACGAGGAATCATTAATAACCAGGCCAGGCAGTCTCTGTGCTCGAGTGGTGTGCGCTGCACATTAAAAGAGAAACAGTGATTTAATCGTCAACTCTTCTGTGAATTGTTTCCAGGCAACCTGTCTTAAACGTAATGATCTCAGTTTCATGAAAGAACTGGAAGGAGACTTAAAAGAGAGACGCGGGCAAGCACGGTGCAGCGTGGGGGGCTGGAAGCGGAGAGTTTTGCTGTGCTGTCAGATTTTTTTTGTCTAGAAAAGTGAAGTGTACTCACATAGGACGATGTTTCGTAAGACATATCGGCTGGTGTTCTCTTTCTTTTTAATGGTGCGTTTTGTTCACGCGCTTGTTGCCTGAACCGACCTTTTGTTTAAAGATCAACAGATCTGTGCAGGGATTAGAGAGTTAGTTCTCCAAATGACTGAGAGATGTAGATGGGGGGCTTATCTTGAGGGGAATGGCTGGTTGAAGAGCCGTTCGACTGGAGAGCAGGAAAACAATGTGAAGAAAGAGTTTTAGAAGGGAAAAGCGAGCACAGCCCTCTTCTTTAGCTCCCTTTGGAGCTGTCACCCTGTCTTGACGTGCATGGCTGCAGATAGCATGCTGACCAGAGGAGGCTGACAGGTGGAGCTGCCCCCCTCATTCAGGCTTCCAGAAACACCTCCGAAATACACGACGCCGGGCACAACCATTAAAGTGTGTCCAAAAACCACACAGAGACAGAGTGGAGGGGGAACAAAGAAATGGGAAAAGTTTCCTTCACAGCAGACAGGTATAAATGGAATGCAGTGAAAATTAAATTACGTTTGTTGTTGGCTTGTCAAACACTGCAAACCTGCATAATGTGATTATTAATGCTACAAGCATTGTTAACGGTTTCAACCCAATTTAGCTTGAAAACTTTTCATTTTTGCCTTAAAGTTTGAGTAAAATGAAAGTGGTTCTCAAGTTGCAACTTACAGGGGCTCCAGAAGTGTTTGGAAACTTATAGATGTCTAAATGTCCTTGCATTAGATTTAAAATATAAAAAGGAAACCACCAAGTGGCATATCATTTTTAAGATAGCACAAGCATAATTTGGAATTTAAGGTTTGATAGGGTAAACTAAATAAATACATAAATAAATAGAATCCTGGGTTTCTCAGTAAAATCCAATTTCTCAATAAAATTCAGTTTTGATTCGCAAGATTTTGATTGGACTCAAACTGATGCAGTTTGATTTAATTCAGTTCATTTTTATTCAGTTCAGTTTGAGTTGATTCAGTTGGTTCAGTTAGATTCTGATTTTCATCTGAATTACATTTAAGATGATTCTGATTCATTTGGTTATACTTCAGTTATATGAAATAAATAATTTCTCTGCTAATGCTGTAAATGGCACATTACACCGTTTCGGTCTGATTCGAAACCAGCTCATAAGAGTCATTTGTTTTGGGAATTGGTGACATTGGTCAAAATATGTTTTTGCCTCACTAAAATGAACTGGCTCATAAGAGTGATTTGTTCATGAATCAGACTACACCGTTCAATATCTTTTTGTTGCATCAGATTTTGTACTGTCTCAAATGAAAATCAGACAGGCTTTCACGTGTTCAAATGCTTGTGGGGTTTGCTCTAGTTTTCAACTATTTTGAATTTACTTAATCATAAGCAAAATTGAGCTTCATCTGTGAAAACCCAGAGGTTTTTTTCCCACAAATGTCGATATCAGAGTGGATTGAAACAAAGACACTGCTATAATGATGCAATCAGTTTTTACAATTGGTTTTTATTACTCTTTCTCGCATTCAAAAAGCTTTGAGTTAATATCACAGATATACTGTCTACTGAGGCGTTTGGGTCCTTGGAGACTCAGACTGCTCAGAGAGACTTCATAATTCACGCATAGCAATGTGCTCCTTGGCCTTTTCCAGTCGAGGTCATCTGGGACAGAAAGGTCTTTCTCTCTCGATAGGAGGGGAATAGCAATATTGTAACCTTTTTCAGCATTTGATTGAACGGGCAATTAAAATTTATATCATGTAACTTCATACTAGCACCATTGCAGCTGAAGTCTTTGTCCCTAAGTACATTATTTCTACAGAAATAATTATAACTAATGAGACGCTGACCAAAAATAGCAAAATCTACACATTTATACACAAATGCTTCTGACTGAAGTCATTCTCTGCTGATGTCATTAGTTCATTGTTGGCTATTTATGAAGTATTTTCATGATTAAATACTAGCATTTTGCTTACTATATACTGAATATAAACTGTATACCGTCATCTTATTTTAATTATTTGTTTGAGATACGCAATTAACTTTTCAAACATTAATATGCTACATTGTCACATAAACAGTTAATTTGCAACGACCAAATGCATCCATCTAAATATGTATGGATGGTGCTTTAAAGAAGGTGAGTTTAAAAATGCTTTTTATCATGAATTTTTGACGAGAAAATGTAAATAAACTACTTGACCTAACTAATCAACTAGTTGACTATCTCGACCCATCCCTAGTCAAATCAAATGAGTTTAGTGTTCATCTGACACACTAGAAATGGAAGGTCAAGTTAAACGCAGTGTATTCTGGGATACAGTATACTACACATTTTTGTTAAAATCACAGGTCAACGACGCATGAAAATTTACATACGAAGAACAAAACACATGCTACTTTCTAAAGAAATAGTACAAGTTGTGTCATAAGTTGAGCAAATTTAATACAGTTGAATGAACCATAAAGCATCAATTTTAATTATTCTTGCAGTTCAGCAAGCATATATTAATGGATTACGCACACACATGTACATTAATATTTTAATGCTAATTATAATGTCTGTCTGCAGTTAAGAGAAAACAATCATTGTATGATGGAGGAATTAAATAGTGTGATATTGAATATGCAAGAAAATGGTCCAGGTGATTTTTATCTTTGCATCTGACACAGTATATGCATGCAATTGGCTTAACTCTTTTTCTTTTAAATAGCTAGACATTATTATCTGCTATTACAGTTTCTTGCAGTCATTTCAGTTGCTTATTTCCAGGCTTTTCATGAAGCCAAGGCCAGAAAGCACTTCGACCCTCAACAAAAACCAGGAACAATCACCTTTTACACATCGGTTCATCCCGCAGCGCCAGTTCTGCTTACCAAAAGGGGCTCACTAGGCGTCTCGCATTCCACGCCCAGGCTCCAAGCCAGCGAGCCGGGCTTCTTACCCATTTAAAGTTTGAGAATAGGTTGAGATTGTTTCGGCCTCAATGCCTCTAGTCATTCGCTTTACCGGATAAAACTGCTTGTTCGAGTGAGCGCCTGCAATCCTGAGGGAAACTTCGGAGGGAACCAGCTACTAGATGGTTCGATTAGTCTTTCGCCCCTATACCCAGGTCGGACGACCGATTTGCACATCAGGACCGCTGCGGGCCTCCACCAGGGTTTCCCCTGGCTTCGCCCTGCCCAGGCATAGTTCACCATCTTTCGGGTACCATCGCGCGCGCTCTAGCTCCACCTCCCCGGCGGTGCGGGCGAGACGGGCCGGTGGTGCGCCCCCCGCCAGGGCGGTGTGATCCCACCTGGGCTGGCAGGCGCCGGCCTTCACCTTCATTGCGCCGAGGGGGCTCGGGGACACCCTTTGACTCGCGCGTGCGTTAGACTCCTTGGTCCGAGACAAAGCTTCATTTTTTTTATGTGACAATCAAAATTTTATTCAGAATTGCATTGAATGTGATTGTACAGTTTCTTGGGCTGTAGAATTAGACTTGTAAATGTTAGTTAGACTCTGTTCACACCCCAGCAATCCTCACACAGACGCACCAGAGAACACCACGCAGGCTCTCGTACGTTCTTTTTGATGTCTGCTCCAACCTTTTCTGATTCAAAAGCTCTCCCAATTCTTTCACAATTGCCGTCACCTCCTTCTACAACAGATTGCTTACATGCACTCCCAGTCTTTCCAAATGCCCCGAAACGTCCCGCGGAGTTCATGAATATAAGCACTTTTCCCCTCCACTCTTATCCCAACTCCCACCGATCTGCTCTCCTCCTCGCCGCCCGCCGTTTGATATATCATGATCCTCGTTGCGTGAAGTCATTATGGCAGGAAGTGGAGAGCGAGGCAGTTCACACTGTTTTGCTCTTGGAAGGTTTAAATGATTGGAATCCTGGAGCTTATGATTGACTAGGGAAGAGGGAAGGGTGATTGCTTTTTTTCCCGTCCGGCGCTCAGTTGAAGGCTAAACAATAACAAGACAGATTTGGAGTCATCTTTTGGGAATGGATTGTGTGAGGGTGTCTTATGGCTTTTTGTTTTATAACTCCTCTGTGTGTATTGTTTTTTTTTTCTGCAGAGATTTTCAAATTTTTTTTCTGTTGTTTATTTTTATTGAAACAATGTAGCAAGAATCTCTCTGCTCTGTGTCTATTTTTCAGCTCGTTTATGACCATCAAGTATCCTTGGATGAATGTTAAAATGGCTGTTTTCTGCTCTAAGGCATTCTTGGGAAATTATATTGAACATCTGAAAAGAAAATCTTCAGATATTTAAAGTAAATATTTTATATTGATGTTTCCAATATTTCAAAACTGACTTGTAGTGTTGAAAGTATAAAAACTATAAATAAATAATGTTTTGCACTGTTCATCATGACTTAATAGTTGTTGGATCATTGTAATTTTTATTAACAATAACGTTTTTTGTTAAATTTGAACTTTTTAAAATTAATTAATTTTTGTAGAATTTATTTATTTATTTGTTTGTTTGGTTGTTTTTTTTATTTATTTTTTTATTTTAGATGCGTTCTTCTAAAATGTCATTTTTTGTGGTTGAACCAATTAAAAAATATATTCTTAGGGCAATGAAACATTTGAACTACAGACCACAATACTGTCCTCTGATCAGATTGCACCGATATCATCAGAAATCATTCTAATATGTGACCCTAGACCACAAATATATATTTGTAGCAACAGTCAAAAATACATTGTATGGGTCAAAATTATTGATTTTTCTTTTATGCCAAAAATCATTAGGACATTAAGTAAAGATCATGTTCCATGAAGATATTTTGTAAATGTCCTACTGTAAATATATCAAAATTAATTTTTGATTAGTAGTATGCATTGCTAACAACTTCATTTGGACAACTTTAAAGGAGATTTTTTGCACCCTCAGATTCCAGATTTTCAAATAGTTGTATCTCGACCAAATATTGTCCTATCCTAACAAACCATACATCAATGGAAAGCTTATTTATTCAGCTTTCGGATGATGTATAAATCTCAATTTCGAAAAATTGACCCTTATGACTGATTTTGTGGTCCAGGGTCACATATGCTGATTTGCTGCTGAATAAACATTTTTAATTATAATCAATGTTGAAAACAGTTGTGCTGCTTAATATTTTTTTGTGGAAACTGCAATACAGGATTCTTTGATCAATAGATCAAATGAACAGCATTTATTTGAAACAGAACATTGGAAATTTTGATCAATTTAATGCATCCTTGCTGAATAAAAAAATAAAAAAATACTGACCTCAAACTTTTGAACCGTACTGTATACAGTGGTATTGCAATTTAAATTTTAAAAGTCCAACTACCACAGTACTCTTATTGTTTAAGGTAGGTATGATAGGAATAGAAGAAATCATGTAGTCAAGGGTTCATTTGTTAGGATTCATGTCATGCATTATAGAATAGACAGTATAGTAGCATGTGTGGCTGTTGGAGGTTATTGTGTACTACAGGATAAACCACAACAACAGCAAACCACAAAGGGACGACCAGACAGACGGCGGTGTCGGCCTCACAGAGAGTATATTCCTTTTGATCTGCTGAGTCTCTCTCTCCATTTCCCCTGTTCCCCTTCCACTATCACTTTTTTCCCTTAAGATCATCAGTGTGAAATCACAACCAAATGTATTTTGTTGCCTTTGAAACTCTTGCTGATGTTGCCAGCTGCTGCCGCTCGAAGGAATAGTTCACTCAAGAATGATGAAATCATTAACTCACCCTGTTATCGTACCACACCGTGTGTCTTTCTTTCTTTCTTTCTTTCTTCTGTAGAACACAGAAGAGTGATTAAAAAATGGCAAAACGATCATTTTAGTTGAACTATTAAATTCTTTTTTTTCACTGCATGTACTTTTACGGTGTGAAAATGCAACTCAGCACTTTAACGAAACATCCTTCCCCATATCCTCATAAAAATCGAGTTTTCCTCTGTAAAAATGTTCAACTTTGCCACACAGTGACACTTGACCCTTCAGCATGCCCTTGGCTAAAATGTAGCATCGCAGTATAGCAGAACTTTGCTTTGCTGAGTGTTTTAGTGCTCAAAGCTGCAGTCAAGGTGAAAACTGCTTATGCTGAAGCAGTATGTATGAGGAACTTCTATATGATGTCAGTTGTCCTCAATGTCTGTGACTGCTGTGAGATATTCCTTAGCTGGGAATGTAACCCGACACCAGTGTTGGGCAGTAATGCATTACTTAGTAACGCGTTACTGTAATTTGATAATTTTTTTAGTAACGGAGTAATTTAACGCGTTATAATTTTCAAAATAGTAATTTGAGTATAGTTACAAGCCGAGGTCTCTATACGTTACTGCCGCGTTACATTGCTGACAGAATTCGGTGTTTTATAATCTAGAGATTGTAAAAAGGATGTAGCACACGCATTGTCGAGTCCAGTGCCAGTGGATTAGAGACCTGCTCCCGCGAGACCCAACGCAACAGAGCGCGGCGCGGGATAAGACTTGATAGGCGAGTGCAGAGACTTGTGTGTGTGTGCGGGATGCGGGAGAATAAAATGATTCACGGGACTCCCGCAAAATTTAAATATCTAGACATAAAATATCTAAAACAAATAAATTGTTATTCATCTCTTGCACAAAAGCTACATGAACTAATATAAAATATAAACGATTAACAGGTGCAAGCGTATGCAGAGTTTCTATTTAGGCTATAACACGTGTTTGCAGCGTTGATGCAGTGCTGAAATTCTCTCATTATAACACACGGATTGTAGACATTATGAAAGATTCATTATGCATATATTTATTGTGTAACAGAGATTTGTGAGATTGCGATGAACTGAGATGTCTTTTAGAGATTATAAATGCAGCGCTCTTTGCTGGCATTCTGCCATACCAAACCATGCATGCAGCAGCCGCTTGCTTTAGATAAAAATAACAGTGTTCTGTGAATGTTGATGCTTTAATAACAAATATTTATCGGGAGCGTGTATGCTGGGATTTCATAAATTTCATGGAGAAAAAAGTAACGTAACTAGTAATGTAACTAATTACTTTTGAAATAAAGGAATCAGAACAGTAACGTGATTACTTTTAAAAGGAGTAATCAGTAATCTGATTACATTTTCAGAGTAACTTGCGCAACACTGCCCGACACAAACGTCAAGTCCCAGCGTGATACACAAATTCTTGCTTCGCGCTGCGCAAAGTACAACTGTTTCACTTTGACGCGCATCACCTAACTAAAAGGAGAAGTTTTAAAGTTACATCCAGAGTTAAATGCTAAGTATTGTTTACTGCAGCTACAAAAAAACAGACAGTAATTAAAAAACACTCTGGAGAGAAACGACCCAACATCTGTTCCCAGTGTTAATCTAATTGATTTGAGTAGTGTCACTGCATGGGGTGAGTCTTTGGATATCAGATACTTTAAATGCATTAACTGGCACACAGTGCGTACTTCCTGTCCACGTCCAATATTCTTTAATTGTGTTATGTGCTGTGAAGGTTTTCTTGTTTTGCAATGACTTTGTTTAAAAACCTGTGAGCTGCCTTGCTACACAGCATTGTATGTGGGCAGTACTTCGGGACCAATTTCATTGCACTTTTATGACTGGATTTGTATTTAATTATTTATTTTTCAAGTTTGTTCATATCAAAGCAGCAGTCTATGTAGGCAGTATCACTGGGTTTTGGAGCAAAGATTATATACAGTATTTTGTGTCCATCCACACACACTTTTAACCTTTGATGGGTTTTTCTTTGATTGGATGGAGATGTTTTTGAAGGTTGGTCATGTTTTCATGTAACCGATGGTGCCACTTTGGCCTACAAATGACCATTGGATGGAAGGTTTAGTGAGTTTTGAAGGCAAAGTGCAACCTTGCAGAAATATCTGAACATTTTCTCTGAAGAAAAGCACAAGACTCTTTAGAAGTGTAATAAAGCATCTGTCAAAAGATCTTTGACTTGTGATATATTTTGCTCTTTCTCATTTATTTTGTAATTTATTAATTGTTTTATTTCATTATGAAAAATCATTTTATTATATCAATTATTTTATTTAGTCATTCATTTTATTATCAATTTTATAATACTTTTTTTATTGTTTTGTTTTATTTTTATGTGTATTTTTTACACTTGTTTTTCCATTTGTTCTATACAGCAGATGACTGTTGAAATGCTTTGTTTATTTCAAAAAATAAAAATGGGTCATCATGTCATTTTCAATGCTTGATGCTGATATCTAGAAAGCAGAATGGCTGTTGGCCAAAATATGATATAATTTCATTATGGCGAATGAGACACATTTAGTTTTATTTCATTTTTCACTGTTGTTTTCCACTGTTCATTCCCTGCCTCTGTCTTTCCCTCATCTGAATATCTCGGTTTAAAAAACCCACGCAGCTGGGTATGGTGGACACCTATTGATATGTTTATTGCTTGCAGTTTCCCCTGTCGTTCCGGAGAGAGCGAGAGGGATGGTGAAGGTGTGATAAATGTTGCGGGGCATTTGGGTCTGAAGAGATCGCGCCAAAGCAGTGCAGCAGCAGTACTGAAGATTGATTTCTCTTATGCAATTCTCCCCAACGTCTGCGATTAATGACCCTCTACGCTCACCATCCATCAGCATCTCCCCTTGCTAAACTACACCAGCCCTCATCCAGGCTCCAAAAGCCCACCTATGGCACCACGGCGTACCCTGCGGCCGCGCATTAGCGTGTTACTAATGCTCTCGCATATTCACCTCTTTCTTTCAGATTAATGATGATACTGTTACCCCGCACCTGTCCACCAGGCATATCCCCTGCCCGCCCAACACCTTCCCTCGACGGGGGGCTTCATGTTGGACACGGACCCTCAGTGGCTGAAAGCCAAAGCATTGCCTGATCGGACATATGTCTCTGCTTTTATAGCTATTCTAGTGAGGCTTAACCACGTACAGTAGGATTTACAGTCTTAAATCTGCTTAGATAGCACCTTTAGATGGGAAGCAACTCTGATTAAACATAGATTAGCCGTAATCTGTCCTTCAGGAGTAAAGAATTTAGGGATTGGGTCATTTGTTGTTGTTTTTCAGCAGTTTGCTCAGCTAAGAGTTCAGCTTCAGTACAAATCTCCAGCAGAGAACCTAAAATGAGGCTCCCAAATAGGTACAGACAACAAAACAGTATCTTTCCTGGTTTGCTTGATCTTGAATAGAATGCAGTTGAATAAGCAATGCTTCAAACTTTCTAAGTCTGAAACTCCCATGTGTAGGAGCCACTGATGACTGAGCCATTGAAGCTGAAAAATGCTGATATCTGTCCTAGACGTGACACAGTTCTCACAATGCTCAAATTGCTCTGCACCCAGGAACTCTCAGAACTTTGAGAATGAAAGCACCCTAAGAGAGCTGCCATGATGTAAACTATCTTAAGACGTTAAAACTCCTTTTCACATGCGGCTCCCTCAAGATTCACCCGAGGCCAAAGTCAAAAACCAGTCGCCTGCCTCTTTTATGCTTTTCTTCTAATCTAGAGGAATTAGTGTGAGAGATTTTGTCCAACAACCCCACTGCATCCACTGGCGAGTCTCTGATACTGTTTGTTTCACTGCTCGATATTGTTCTAGGATCTCATATACAACAGAGGATAGTTGTAATGCTTAGTTGTAGCATTTATTTATTTATTGAAAGTTCTTGCGATTTTGATTACAGAAGTGGTGATCTGCTAAAAAATATATTTCTGTTACTATTATATTAATATTACCATTTCATGTAATTTTGATCAAATAAATGCAGCCCTGGTGAATAGAAGAGACCCAAAAACAAAAATATTACCTACCCCTTTTGCACAGTGTACATATATTTTTTTATGAAAGAATGATATGTCTTTTGATAAGTGTTTCTCATATGACAAAAAAATAAATTAACCATGTTATGACAATTTCCCATCATATTTATCTCTTACCTTCCTTTCTCTTTCTCTTTCTCTTTCTCTTTCTCTTTCTCTTTCTCTTTCTTTTATTATCCCCACAGATCCAGTCAACAGTCCCCAGAACGTGAACGTGGTGGACATCCGCGCCCGTCAGCTGACCCTGCAGTGGGAGACTTTCGGATACGCCGTGACACGCTGCCACAGCTTCAACCTGACCGTACAGTACCAGTATGTGTTCAACCAGCAGGAGTTTGCTGCTGAGGAGCTGATTCCCACCTCCTCTCATTACACTCTGAGGGGACTCAGGCCTTTCGTGACGGTCAGACTACGGCTGGTGCTGGCCAACGCTGAGGGCAGCAAGGAGAGTGAGGAGATCGTCAAACAGACGGAGGAAGATGGTGAGTGGGATTATGTAAGATGGTGGAATGAGGGGATGGAGGAATAGATGTTGTAAATTACGAAACCTTTAATTTTTACTGGCTTTAATTAAGTGTCAGGTGTCAGACCCAGCAAATTAAGGATGCGTCGATCCAGCACTCGGTATTGGTATTGGTCTGATGTGGATTTTTTGTTTTGTTTTTTGTCAGATCATGTAACATCCATCACTACTCCAAACCCCTCCATAGTTTGCACCCTGACTTCTCCAGTTTGTAATAAGATTACTTCACTAATTACTGTCTGAACAGTAATCACATTACTGATGATAACTCATGACTTCATTTCTGAAACCTATCATGCTTTAGCAGATGGACAAGACAACATCCAAACTGTCCATCCGGTTGTAAATTCAAACGCTATTGCAGTTCAGTATTTTCACCATGATTTCACTCTTATATACTTTTCTGTAAATGTCAGAAAAAAATCAGGCGAAATTTTTTTATATATAGATAAAGTGAGGCAAGACAAGGCAATATGTGACCCTGGACCACAAAACCAGTCATAAGGGTCAATTTCTCGAAATTGAGATTTATACATCATATGACAGCTGAATAAATAAGCTTTCCATTGATGTATGGTTTGTTAGGATAGGACAATATTTGGCCGAAAATCTGGAATCTGAGGGTGCAAAAAAATCTAAATACTGAGAAAATCGCCTTTAAAGTTGTCCAAATGAAGTTCTTAGCAATGCATATTAATAATCAAAAATTAAGTTTTGATATATTTACGGTAGGAAATGTACAAATTATCTTGATGGAACATGATCTTTATTTAATATCCTAATGATTTTTGGCATAAAAGAAAAATCGATCATTTTGACCCATACAATGTTTTTTTTTGCTATTGCTAATTATATACCCAAACGACTTCAGACTGGTTTTGTGGTCCAGGGTCACATATAGTTATATAACATATTTCACACACACTGGTAATTCAAAGTGCTTTAAAAAAAAAAGTATTTAAAAAATTGTAATTATAAAAAGTTTCATAAAAATACAATAAAAGTAGAAAGTACAACTTGAAGAAAAATGATAAGTTAGATAAAATGCAATAAGATTCTACATTAAAATGAATACGAGTAATAAGACTAATTTGATATTATGCATGCAAGAGATTGAATTTAGTGTTGTTCTCTGTTATAAACTCGAGTTCACAGATGAGCGATTTGTATTCTTTTCTAATTGAATCCATTTTGTTTCATTACAAATAAAAGAAATTACAAATGCACTAATGCTTGTTTACATAGTCCTCATGGTTCACATCATATAAAAGAAGTTATAAAAGAAGACCTGACAGAACATTACCATGGCTACTTAACAATAAATGAACAAATAAAGAAATGGACATATGTAATATAAGTAATATGTGGAAATTATTTTACTTTGTGTAACGAACAAGACCATGGAGTGCTATAAGAGACATGCAACTAGCACAGAATAGGAAATTGATTGCAAGGCAGAACAATTATACAGTTTAGTGGTTATTACACAAAGACTGTTTGATTATTCAATCAGAATCAAGTATTCCAAAGAGCCATGCTAATATTTACTAATCTTTTTTTTCAATTTACTTTACACTCTTTCTCTCTCTAATGAAACTCGTGGATCTATCTGTATTTTTTTTTCATTTACAAACAGTGTTGTATTGAATATATTTTTCTATTTTATACTGATAGCAAAACTCTCAAAGCAACTATGTTTTAAATTGAATAGCTATCGTTATATTCTTTCATTTCTAAGTGCTGGTTTAGGCTAATTAGAAAACTTTCTGGGTAAGAGATACTGTATAATTGTGAGCATTATAAATAAATTGATTGTCTTCTTGAATTGATTTACTTGAAGGTTGTTTGAGGAACATTGTTAGGTCCAGAAATCATTAACACTCGTTCTTGGCATTTAATCTTACTAGACATTTGAATTAAACAAGAACAGAAGTAATAACTACTAACCTTCGCTGGAAGAATTGCGCATGTACAGACAGATTGGAGGTTAATGCTTCAGTACAATGAAGCAAAACACGACTATTATAGGCTAGAACATCCTTTCATAGCCAATATTCAGCATCAGGGACTCCTCTAGCTAATGTTGACAGTTGTAGATTTTGGCAAATTAGTTTCACAACATGTGTGGCCCTTACCACATTCTCAAATGTGAAAATGGGAACAGTTCAATGACCTCACCCCATTATTTCAATTATCCAACATTTTAATTAATGACTCTTATGCCTGGTTCTTGAGGGCTGAAGGGCTGAAGGGCCGTTGGTTTTGTTTTTTTTAAGTCTTTGTCTTGGAGCGCTTCCGTGTTCTTTCCAGCTGAATGCAACTCTGAAGCTCTTCAGAGTGCTGCTGTGGAAATTCAGTGATCTTCTGGGAAATGCAATTCAATAGTGGTCATTTAAAATTACTTACTTTTGCGCTGTGGTCAAAAATAAACTGTAGATTTAAAAAAAAAAGAAAAAAAAGAAGGTTTAAAAGCAGGAAATTCTGCTTAAATAAAGGAAATTCTGTTCTTTGTTTCATTTTTATAGCCTAAGAGGGAGTCTTACTGCTTTCAGCCTTTAAAATAAGATAAAATCTTATTTAGATAAAATAAGAAAAAAGAAAAAAGGTAATTTTTTAAGCAATGACTAAAGATAAAAATTGATTTGCAACAAAAATAGTGTTGTTTAATAATTTGTGGAAACTATGATACATTTTTATCAGAATTCTCGATGACTAGAAAGTTCAAAAGACCAGATTTAAATCAGATTTATTTGAAATAGAAATCTTTTGTGACACCTTAAATGTATCAGCCTTTTTTGACCAGTTTAATCCATCCTTGCATCATCCAAAAACGTAAAAAAAAAAAAAATCTTATTGACCCTAAACTTTTGAACAGTAGTGTTGAAATACAATAATTTTATAATTCAGTGATGCTGTTTTCCATCATATATTAAAACAACGCCAATGGCAAATATTCTATATTCCATCTAATGTACATTATATTTTGTAGTACAACTTAAAGTTTGATGCAGTTGTAAGTAAACCACTGTGCTTTTTAAATAAATCAATATTTAATTAAAGCTCATGTACACATTAAATTTGTTCTGTAATGGTGAAACTGTAGAAAAATCATCATTGCTGCATAAGCCATACTTTTGTAAACGATTTCGAAACAATTTTTATGTTTTAATAATGCATCCTCTCAGATCTCAGCAGCTGTAATGCTCACAGTGAAAGTGTTTGTATTGTAAGACATTAGATTGTCTTGTGTATTTGAGGATCACTACAGTTCTGTACTGAAGTCAGATCCACTCAGAGAAGTAAATGGAAACAGAATTGTTAGACCGTAGTACTGTTGTGCTCTTCCCGAAGAAGAACAACAAATATGAAACAAAGATGATGAAAGCCGTCCTCCTTTAATCCATCCGTTCCATTGATGTGTTGCAGTTAAAAGGAAATCCCAATGTACAGGAAGAGCATGTTAAAGCTTCACAGTCTGTGAAAAGACACAACGTTTCTCAGACGGAGGGAAGGTTTGCAAGCGGTGCTTAATTCGAAAATTTCCCAGAGGGAAGCACTCAGCCTCCATTTACAATTAATTTCTCCCAGCTTGTTTTTAATGCTGAGCAATAAAGCCGTGTGAAAATAAAGCCTATTGTCAGGCCTTAGATTATTAGATTATAGCGTATAATTCAAGCTCATCTCATTTTCTTTTCGTTTTTCATCTTCTGATGAGTCTGTTTTGATCTGGATAGAACTCTTTTGGTTATTCAGTATCTGCTCTTGTCTGCCGCACTGATGTTTTTTTCTTTTTTGTAAATGTTTTTTGCATATGAAAACCTATAATTGCTGTCCTTTGTGTTTGCAAATTGATGGACAGCTGCAACATATCAATAGTGAAGCAAATTTGTCCCTCTGTGTTACCTTATATGGGTATAATTGCAGGAGGGTGAAATTAACATGAGGACAGCAGAGCATTTTTTACCTTATTAGGTCAACAACAACACCGACCCTGTACTTAGGGAAGCTGCTTGCCCGTAAACAAGCGTAAACAGGAACAGAGTGAATATGTTGAGCCTGATTTATTCAGAGACGAAAATAATCAGTAAGATTCAGTGTATGATAATTACGAAACCTATTATAAGTTATTTGTATCTGAGAGGGACAAGCATAAAGGGGAAAAATTGTTTCCTCCACCTCAAACTTAATGAAACTTCACTCACAGTCTCCACACGAGAAGCTAATCAGCTGGATTAATATGTAAAGCGGCATTTCTCGCACATGCATGGTTATATGGTGGAAAAGGTAGCGGACGGAGGACTGGATCTAATTATATTTCATTGTAACCGTGATTTAATGTGCTTGTTGGCTAGTGCCCAATCAAGCTATTTGAAGAATCGTTGAAAATATAATTTAACTGGCCTCACTTTGCAGTACAATATCTGACATCAACACCTCGGTGAGAGAGCGTTATTCACTTTTTCTTTGATTAGCTCAATTCTTTTCCCATCGAAGAATAAATGCCAGTGACTATTCAGATTTTAATTGCGATTGAGGGCAAATAACTCAACCTCGCTACCTTTTGAAGATGAACTTAGTTGCATGCGATTGAAATAGTCCGAAAGAATTATATGAGAGGAAATCTGTTCTATGTGGGAAAAGCAACTTTCTGTTTACAGAATACTATGAGTGAGATTTCCATAAATGGCTATATTCACCAATATCCATTTTCTCTTACAACATAAAGTTTTGTGCATTTGTGCTCACTGATTAGTTCAGAAAATGTATTTCTGCTAATGAAATTGTTGTTGTTCAGTAATAGTGAAACTTTGGAAGAAAATGCCGGTATTGCATAAATCATAATTTTATGGGCATTGGCTAGAAATTATTTTAAAGTTTTAATAATGCATCCTCTCAGACCTCAGCCATTGTAATACTCACAATAAATATTTGAAATATCAGATTAGCTCAAATCATTTCCTGTAAAGAATAAATGCCAAAGACTATTTAGCTTTTAATAGCGATTTAAGGCAAATGAAGATGAACTGGAGCTTATGCAATATAAACAAACAGAAAGAATAAGATGAGATGAGATCCTGTCTTTTTTCCCTCATTAATTGGAAGAAACCATTATACATCTCAAGACATAACTTAATACTTTGAACTATTACAAAATAAAGAGAACAAAAATCAAGAAAAGTAAGCATAATGTATGGCAGTATACAGTGGGTACGGAAAGTATTCAGACCCCCTTAAATTTTTCACTCTTTGTTATATTGCAGCCATTTGCTAAAATCATTTAAGTTCATTTTTTTCCCTCATTAATGTACACACAGCACCCCATATTGACAGAAAAACACAGAATTGTTGACATTTTTGCAGATTTATTAAAAAAGAAAAACTGAAATATTACATGGTCCTAAGTATTCAGACCCTTTGCTGTGACACTCATATATTTAACTCAGGTGCTGTCCATTTCTTCTGATCATCCTTGAGATGGTTCTACACCTTCATTTGAGTCCAGCTGTGTTTGATTATACTGATTGGACTTGATTAGGAAAGCCACACACCTGTCTATATAAGACCTTACAGCTCACAGTGCATGTCAGAGCAAATGAGAATCATGAGGTCAAAAGAACTGCCTGAAGAGCTCAGAGACAGAATTGGCAAGGCACAGATCTGGCCAAGGCTACAAAAAAATTT